ATAAATCACTAAACTAATAAATACTAACCCTAAAAACAATGGGCCTCACTGGGCTTAAGTAATAAACCTATTAAAGCCCACTAGGTTACAAAATAAGCCCAAACATTAAAACAAAAATATGCAATGTTGCCAAGTCCTGAGGGATTGATCCCCCACCCTGGGGGATCGATCCCCCAGAGTTGGAAAATTCCTTTAAGCCTTATTCAGCTCCATTTTTGCCCTGGGCTATTTGGTTTGCTTCTCCATCTTTGGGAACATCATCAAAGGCCCGAGATTGACCGCTTTGTGCCATTTTCTGAAAATCTTTGCTTAACTCCAAAAAGGCTTAATTGGACCGTTCTTAGCTCATTTTAACTTTATTGCCCTGAAATACACATAAACATAAATTAGGACTAAAACATAAACTTAAGATAGATGCAAAGACTGAACTACCCTAGCTTAGGTGCTGAAATGTGCAACATTTAAGCACTTATCAAGAACTAAGTCCTAACCATCTCAATCTTGATTGATATCACCAAGTTTCCAAAATCAATAAGTTGTGTAAATCAAGATAGCATTAAGACACAAGTAATGCATTAAACACGTTTCATGCACAATCAAGATTTTGGAAACATAAAAGTCATGCCCTAAGTTCTCAACTAACTTGGCATGTGAAATGTCAAGAAATCATAGTATGCATCTATATAGACTACAAACTAGGATATATATCACATAAAATCCATCGATGCAAAAATACCACAAGTATAAGATTAATGATTTAATTATTTACTAAGCAATACATGGATAATTAAATCATTCCAAGACAATGATGCAAGTTCATTAAGTACATTACTGAAACCAAGATACACCGGGTATAGTTACATGTGAAAGGCTAAAAGTTCCATGGAATACAAGTTACAACTAAGTGAACTAAGTTCCATACAAGTAAAACAAGTAAGTGTAAGTCTCAAACTTATCTGATTATGCTCAATGTAATACACGTGAAGGAACTTATCAAGACAATCATGAATATAAGGTTAGAAACTTAATCAAGTGCATAGAACCATTAAATGGATTTTAATTATTTCATTTAATTAAAATCTCTAGATTTTGAAAGTCATCCAAATGACCACAATTTAATATATGTTATACAACATGTCATAACTTGATTTAAGAACACAATACAAGTACATTTCATGCAAGTTACGGCCTTGAGTATTAAACTTTAATACAAGAAAAATAATAAATGAAAGGTTTCAAAACCTAATCAAATATTCTAGATTTAATATATGTGAAACTATACGGCATGTACATCAAGAATTTCAAGTCGAATTTCCAATGGAGTGAATAGTACACTCGGAGCAATTTAATTAATCTAATTAATTAAATATTACTAGATTTCAAAACTTCTCCGATTTCTCCCAAATTAATCTATGTTGAAGAGCATGCTAGGGCCTAATATAATATGCTATCACATGTTGATTTAAAGCTAGATAAGGCCACATGATTTAATATTTTATTCAAGATAAATATTAAATAAAATCTTCATTTCTTGTCCAAATAATCTAGATTTAATATATGTCAATCTACATATCAAGGGGTAATACTCTATCATGCCACATGATTAAACAAAGTTATGAACAATCGGGAAAATTAAATCCTTCACAAGAAAAATAAATAATAAAATCTCTAGATTTTACATCCAAGCATGTAATCAAGTTGTATAAGCATCACAAGCATGTAATATAGCAAGAATTTAAATTATAACACCCCCTACCTCAATTTGAGATGAAAACCCCAAATCCCTACCGGAAGAAAAGTGTTCCTAATCCGCCGAAATCGAAGGGTTTTGTCGGGGATAACACGATCCACTTGAATCCGAAGGAAGCCCCATGAAAATCACAACTGAATTTCAACCCCAAACTCAAGAAATGGTTGAAAATGAATTCTGATAAGGGGGAATGGTAGAACACGTCGAGGGGAACAAAAAACGTGAAGACCGAAGACTTTTCACTTAGGAAAAGTAAATCAAAGGAGGAGAGAGAAGGTGGCAGCTCCATGGGCATCCATGGCTGCTTCAGGTCGTGCAAGGGGAGTGGGGAAGATGAAAAATAAAATATTTCTCCCCCCCCCCCTTTAAAGAAATCTCAAAAAGTGCCCTGAACGGGCCCCGCGGGGTCCGGAAAAGTGGAATTTGAGCAAACGGGCTCAAATGGCAAAACTTCATAAATGAAAAAGATTTAAAATGAGAAAATATGAATAACGGAAGAAATGGTGTCAAAAACCGAGTCCCGAGCAGAAAGTTATGCCCCGAACAAGTTCGGCGGCAACTTGGTCCAGAAACTCTGAAACTGGAGAAATATGACCAGAAGGAAATTCCAAGAGTCCACGACTCGACGAAATGTGAAAATGAATCCCATACGAGGATCCAGGCTCTAGACGAGGCATTTTGCAATAACTTTCGTTAATTGCACAATGGCCCCTACAAAAAGGGTTAACTGCGAAACTGCCCCAGAATGAAAATATCTTCCAAAAGATATTTTCTTAGATACTCCTAAAATAAAATATCTTCAAAAGATATTTACGAAAAACACCTCAAGAAATGAAAAAGATTCTGAAGAATTGTGCATCCATGCCCCTATGGGCACCGAGAACAACCAGAGTACTTTCTTGAAAAAGTAAAGATACGTATTCCGAGGAAACCACTCAAGATGAAGGCACGTGAAGTCAAAAACCAACTCCGAGCATGAGAAGTGAGGTTGTGCCAATAATGTGACAAACGGGGAAAAGACATAATAGGGAAAAAGATGAAATAGTGCATAGTGTCCGAAAAGTGAAAATGCGAAAATGACTCGGTCCTCAAAGGAAGTTGTCAATTCACATGAATGAGTCTCAGCAACCAATTCTAAGCACTTGAGATGACACTAAGCAACGAGAAACAGAGCTCAGAAAAGAAAATTAAACGAAAAAAATTCATTCGTAAAATTTCAGGAAAAAAGAAAGGGAGGCAAATGACCGTGTCGTTACAGAGAGCGTTGTAGAGGGACTCAATTGTCATCATAAGCAGGGAGCAGACGAGGGTACGGTGGTCAGAATCTTGTCGCCAACAGCAATGATAAGCGTTTGTGGGTAGTACGCGGCGACGTTCCAACCAATCCAGGCAGCGATTTTGGCATTGGAAAACCCAATTACGAGGAGCTGGTTATGGTGTACACTGATGACGACCCAGATCTTAGTCTTAGCTAGAGCTATGAGAATGTTTGCGCCAGCATCATAGAGATAAATGGTGATAGTTTGGGTTTGAAGTTCATAGACCCAAGCTCGGTGAAGTGTATAAAACCACTGGTGAAGCTTATACAGTCCGGTGAGCCCCCTAGCAACATCGAACCAGTTTGATTGGTTTGGCCTTAAAGAAAGAAGATATGGTGTTTAAGTAATTTCACATGATTTAGTTAGGATAATAATTTATTTACATGTCTTTCAAGGGTAAAATGGGAATTTGAGAATAAAAAATTGCTGACATCATCTATTTTTGTCAATAACAGTGTTTTTCGTTAACAGATAGGCGGTTTTTGTTATTAGTGTATGACATCGGGCCGGCCCAACATTTGATGTTTGATCAGATTGAACAAAAAAAAAAAAAAAAGAGAATATTAATGAATTAAAAATTTCTCAAAAAAATTGATGTTTCAAACCGAGAAAAGAAACAAATGTAATTTGCATATTTGTTCATAAGAAAAAAGGAAAAAAAGAAAAAGGGCTAAACGGGTAAGCCCGTCTAAGCCCAAAAATAGTCGGGTTCAAATTACTAATATAGCCCAGTTTTGTATGACATTGGGCCGGCCCAACCCAACCCGATTTCGGGTTGAGGTCGGGTTAGGACCGGGCTAAGTTGAGCCTGCCTAACTTGCAACCCTAATGTATGTTAACGAAACCTAAAGGAGGTCAGTATAAGGGCAAAGTACAATAAACCCCCCTCCACTATGGGCCTTTTCCAGTAAATCACTTATCTAATTTTTTACCAAAGAACCCCCTCCAACTATCTGAGAGGGGTAAAAGAGTAGATGTTTGGATCAAAATGCCCTTATTGCTATTTTATTTAAACCATAATTCATCCGAACTTCAAAAATTCATATCTCACAAACCGTACTTCCAAAAATTACAAATAATATATGCACGGAAAGCTTATGAAACAAGGATTCCATAAATATAAGATTTGTGTAATAAGCCACCATAACCAGAGAGAAATAGACAATCTAAAAATCTCTTCCACCAATTTCTTGAGATATCATATTGTGCGTTTAAGTTATTTTCATTTTCTTAGACTCATCATTTAAAAAATATATATATCAAAATAAATAATCGGTCTCTGTTGGGGCTAAATTTTGTATATATTATACTCCATACGTAAATGAATAATTCTAGAAATTTTCTTGTAAATATCCCAATTATTTTATTTTCTAAAAATAAAATAAGATTGCTGGAGGAGATTTTTAGATTGTCTCTTTCTCTCTGGTTATGGTGGCATGTTATACAAATATTATATTTCTGGAATTCTTGTTTCATAAGTTTTCCGTGTATATATTATTTGTAATTTTTAGATGTACAATTTGTGATACATGAATTTTTAAAATTTAGATGAATTATGATTCAAATAAAATAGCAATACTGATATTTTGATACAAACATTCACTATTTTAGCCCTTTAGATAGTTAGAGGGTTCTTTGATAATAAAAAATTGGGTAAGGTACAGAGACACCCCCTAAGGTTTGGGGTAAGACACCCAGAGGAAAGTTTGTCTATCTTTGGACAATGACACCCCTTCAAGTTTGAAAAATGGACAAAGAGACCCTGAAGACGGTGAATTGACCTTATTATCCTTTGAAATAAAATTAACATTTTAATTAACTTAAATACCCTTGGATTAAACCCATCTCAAACCCGAACCCAAACCCGCCTGTGTGTATATTATACAGTTCACCGGAGGAGAGAGAACAGAGAGAGGAAGACGGGAGATGAGATGGATGATGATTGTGGCTGCGATGGTGGGTGTAGAGAGAAGCGAGTCAGAGATGAATGGGACAAGTCAGAGCTGGACTCAGCCGAGGTAAAGAGACTCAGGGATGACCTCCTAAATCTCGATGACTCGGATCTCGGAACCAATTGTCCTGACCTCGACTCATTCATGAAGAGCTTCGAAGAAGAGATCTCTGTGTCGCCGGCTCCACCGGCGAATGATGTAGATCTGACATCAGACGCCGAAGATTCCCAACTGGAGCTCGGTTACCTCTTGGAAGCCTCCGACGACGAGCTCGGCCTCCCTCCGTCGACTACGTCATCAAGCGAGGCGGAGAACAACGAAGAAACCGAGTTGGTCCGAGTTCCGTCGGACTCGATCTGACTCGGCGAGTTATGGGGGTTTAATGACGAGATCCCGAGTTACGACTCATTCGGGTTGGGAATCATTGGTGGTGATAGTTATATTAATATCGGCGAGTACGTTGCGTTAGACGGGTTGTTCGTTCATTCGAATCAATTATTCGGGTCATTAGAATATCCGGATGGCTTGTGGTGGTCGGAAACGTTGTTAGCGCAGTAGTAACAGCGAAACGTTGTAGTGAAAAAGCATATTGTAAAAGGAACCCAAACCCGCCTGCCTGTATGTATATTATACAGTTCAGCATCTTTAGACATAAACACCACTGAGGGCAGTCCAAAGATTGTGGAAGTGGACACTGGTAAGCCCAAATCAAGATCCCGGAGAACCAAAACCTGGGTGTCAGATTCCTGCGACGACCCATTTGGCCAACACTCTCCTTACCCTTCCTATGTCGAATTTTAACCCGTTTATCAATCCTCGGTCACCGGAACTCCCAAGACATCGATTGGGGACTAACCGGCAATGAATGCCGGTTCTCCACGACAGAAAGCACCCCTCAGTTTGTAAATTCTGGCGGGTCTAATGCCCCGGTGACGTTGGCGAAGAGCATCTGTGTTGTTACTTATTTCTGGCAGTACACAAATTATCTAAATTACATGGCCAGTACACAATCATTCAAGGCCAAATTGAGGTCCCAAAGTGTGATACCCCTCGGATCCGAGACACGGATTGATCAGGCCCAGGCCCAAACCCGAGAAAATATCAAATAATTAATATTTTAAAACGAATACAGATTACAAAAATGAAATAAGAATAATTATTAAAAGCTGAAAAGAATAATAATGTAAAATCCTCAACTGATAAAACTTAATAAAATCCAACTGCCAAAACCTCCATGGTTACAACTCGGGAATCCATCTCTAGTGGACCCCTAATAATAATCTGAACTGAAAACTAAAAACAACTGAAAGAAACATCCAGTAATAAGCTATGGAGAGAGTCCTACGTAGTCGGTGGAATGGAAGTTTGTATCTACTCTGCACGACCAACACGACCAAGCTCTAACCCTGGAACTGGCGAGCACCTGAAAAATAAGAGAGTAGGTCAGGCACACATGCAAGTCCTAATCTAACTGCAATCCATACAGTGACCCTATATGCAGATATACCCTAAATACCCTCAACATATCTATTTAGTCCATAAGTATATATATAACCACACTAAGGACATTCACTGGACTACAATAGGGGTCTCAACCTGAATAGAAGGCATCATGCGAAAATGCACCCAAAGGTGGGCATGAGTACCTAGACCTATCAGGGTACACCTACCTACTATATCCAGCTACGCATCCACTGCATATACGCACCCTAACCAACGATCTGAGACTCAAGCTCATATCGTGGTACCATAATCATATATCTAAAATCCGTCCAAAACCATAGTATGTCATTCAATTATTTATTGAGGAGACATACAAAACACCGTCTAGATAAGCACTCAACTTATTCAGCTGATGTGACTTAACTACAACCAATTAATCCAGGAAGTCATTCAACTTAGTCAGTTGATTTGACTTAAACACATTGATGGATTCAATATTTTACAATCCATCATTTCCATCCGGTAGGTTAGGTCTTAGCGTTTTGAGCTAAACCGTCCCCAGTATGCCACCGTCCCATACCGGTGCATACAATCCTCCATATCCATGTAAATTACAACATATAAATCATAACTGAGTAATTTACAGTCCCAACTAGTATCCAAATAATTTCATAAATGGTTTCGTTATACTAGCAATTGAAAATCAACAGTAATCCATGTAATAGTAGAAAAGGTTTACTGTTTCAACAATTAAGATCCCAAAGCATGTATAGATCAAAATAAATATATAGAGGACCCTATCATGCATTCAAAATAGGTTTTTATAAACATCCTACATCCCATTACATTGCCAAAATTTAGTTAGGCAATTAATCCATCTTTCCTTCGTTAATCGTATAGAAAATTAGTAATTTTATACCGTTTGTCCCATTGACTAGATGTAAGCTTTAGTCAGTTAAAGGTCTTAATAATACCTAGGATTAACTTTTTAGTCATACAGTGAAGTCCCAAACTCAGTCCAAACAGTCCCCAACTCCTACAGTCTCAAAATTAATCGTAAAAACAAATTTCAGAAACTATATGTGAGAAAGAGCCTTCTCCAGATTTTGGAGCAGGCTCTAGGAACACTTGGAGCCGCCTCCTAGGAGGGTAAAGCCAGCTCTACCTCTCCTAGAGCCGGCTCTTTAATGGGGGAGTCGGCTCTTTGCATTCCAGAGCCGGCTCTCTCCTCCTCTTCGAGCCTCCTTCAACCTCTATTACTCCTGCGACTTTCTGCAGTGTGTTCCGGCCATTTACAACCTGTCTAGTTGGTTTTAAACTGATCCTTTGAGTCCTATCTATGTCCAGTATAATCCCCAAGATGTGTTTATAGCAGTCGAAAACAAATACAGAGGCTACAAGTTTTACAGATTTTCATGCTTTAAGAAACATACTGCTAACAGATACGCACAAACTATAATTGAACAAATTTTCACACATACAGAACATCGATATAACATCTATTATAAATAAGAAACTCAGTTAATACTTAATTAAATCCTAGAGGCTATCTAGGTGCACAGAACACAGGCAAAGGGAAGAAGAAAGAAAAAAACTTGCCTTTGAGTTTCAGACTTGAAACTCTAATTCCCAGTTTCTGTATTGTCCGTTCAACACCCCACTGCTGTTCCACAAACCACGTTCCTTCCTCCTTGCTCCCACCTAGCCTTCCTCTCCTATCTCTCTCTGTTCTCCCTCTGTACCTCACAGTTTCTGTGTTTTTACAGAACTCAATTCACGTCTACGAGCTAACTGCTAGAACCAAAAACCCTAGGTTTACCGCATGTGATATAATTATAAGCTTAACCCTGAACCCTAATCCTTGTAACCTTAGAGCCAGAGCTCATCTCGGCCCATAAACCAACCTATAATATATATCTACGTCGGCCACCCATGTGAATTTTAAACCTAATGAAACTATACGTATTTGTAACAGCAAAAATATTCATGTGTAAATCAGAACCATTAAATTTAAAATTCCATTAAATAAAATCAATTAAACAATTAACTAAATCCAATTAAATAAAAATAATTAAGCAAATAATTACAAAACATGACTAATTAAACAAATAAAACCATTAAGCAAATAATTAAATAAAACAATTACGCAAATAATCAAATAAAATGCAAACAAATAATAAATTAAATTCCAGGAATAGCAAATAATCAAATAAAATACAAACAAATAATAAATTAAAATCTAGGAATAGCCTTTTTTAAAATTAGGGGTATTACACAAAGTGCTCCAAAGCAGAGGCCTGAACCTGAATGATGGAGTCCAAGAATAGCCTAAGTGGGGTTAGAGGCCGAGCTCCGGCGAGATTGAGGAGGTAGCGGTGGTAGAGCTGCTCTTCGGCATCTTTAGTTGGGGGTGGTGGTCACTGGTTGTTTGTGTGTGTGTGTGTGTGTGTGTATATATATATATATATATATAGACAGAGAGATGAAAAGGGTAATTTGGCCATTTAAGTTTTTGATATTTTATAATTAAGATTAATAAAATAGTGAAGGGTAAAATGGACTTTTTACATGATTTAAGGCTCTGTTTGGATGATAAATTTTACAAAGGAGTGTCGTTGTTCAAAAATAGATAAACTTTTTCCTAGTTATCCTTGCCCCAAACCTCAGGGGTGGTCTCTGTACTTTACCCTAAAAAATTAGACAAAAGTCATTTACCAGAAAAGACACAAAGGAGGGGGGGTTATTGGTAGGGCTGCAAGTTGGGTTGACCCAACCCAGCCCAGTCCCAACCCAACCTCAACCAAAATCGGGTTGGGTTGGGCCAACACGAATTATATTAAACATGGGTTATGATTATAACCCAGCCCGAATATATTTGGACGGGTTGACGGGTTGAAAACTTTTTTTTAAAATTTTTTTGTTTTTGGAAATTTATATATATATATATATATATATATGTATTATATTTGATTATATTATTATTAAAAACAAATTATATATATATATAATCAAATATAATACATATATATATATATATATTATATATTTTATTTAGGGCAAATCATTTTAGCCTTCCCCAATCGCCTCTGTCGCCTCTCTCTGAACTTGCCTCCCCCCTCTCTCTCTCTCTCTCTCTCTCTTTCTCTACAACAACTGCAAACTACAAAAACTTCAAAGCTCATATATTTCAGTTTCATCTATCTACAACAATCAAAAGTTCAAAACCCATATCGGCATATCATTTCAGATTGTTCAAAAAATCACAAACCAGATCTTTCAGTTTCCATCACCCGCTGTTCCAGATCGGGTTTGTCGTTCGCCATCGGCAAAGCTTCAACCGCTATCTCTCAACTCTCAACCATTTCAGATCGTTCAAAAAGTCAAAACCCAAATCTTTCAGTTTTCATCGCTCGCTGTTCTAGTTCGCCGTTCGCAAGCTTCAACCGCTGTCTCTCTTTGCAACTGCTACCTTAAATGTATGGGGACGATACACAAAGAAAGAGAAAGAAGGAGAGAAAGAAGAGAGAGAGAGAGAGAGGGGAGAGAGAACGGAGGAAAAAAAAAAAAGAAAAAAAAATTTTTTTTTTTTATTTTAATTTTTGGGTTATGGGTTGGGTTCGGATTGAACCCGAGCCCAACCCGAATATGTCTAGGTTTTGACAAAACCCAACCCGAACATGAACCCGATTTGTAAACTTAAAATTCAAATTTCAAATTCTCGAGTTGGACTTGGGTTGGGCTGGGTTAACCCACCCAAGTTGCGGCCCTGGTTATTGGACTGGCCATTCAGTGTAATTATCCCTAAAAGGATATTATTCGCACATTTTTAAGTAGTTAAATACGACATCGTGGTTTGTTCTGACTTCAATTACTCATTAACCACGACATCGTTTTAAATGTATGTCAAAATCTTAGAAGGTACACACAGATAGATATACTATGTATATGCGTCGTTTTCTGGAGGAAAAAAAAAAATCCTTGAAACTGAGGGTAGCTTTAGATCTCTACTCTACTAATCTTCCCAATTTTCACGCACTGTAACATATCGCCACAGAAGCGATCACACAGAGCTTTCTCTTTCTAAAACCTCTCCCCCCTCTCTCTCTCACTAATGGCTGAATCTCGCCGGCGAAGATGAAGATCACTGCCAAGACTGACCTCGCGGCGATTCTCTCTTCCAGAGCCCTAAACATTCCACCGGACTCGGATCTTCTTCACAAGCCGACCTCTCGCAGACCGCCACGCCGGAAAACAAGGAACTCCGGCTTATCCGGTGACGGAGTGCGGTTGAGGATAGACGGAACTCCGGTGGGGAAGCGGAGTAGACCTGAGACTCCTCTTCTCCGGTGGAAGTTCAAGGATGGAGAGAAAGGAGTCGGTGTTAAGGACGAGAGTTCGCCGCCTGAGTTTGGTCGGAGAAGTGCGCGGGGAGTGGGGAGAGGTGCAGAAGTTGTGGTCTCGGCGAGGAAGCTCGCCGGCGGACTCTGGCGGTTACAGTTGCCGGAGGTTGCAGCCGATGGTGCCGAAAGGCATTGTCTGCCGAAGAACAATCAGGTAAGGATTCTGTTACATTTCATTCTTGATCTCTCATTCTAGGGTTTTTGAATTAATTCAGATAATTTGAATGAAGCAATGATTGACTTGTTCTTACTGTAAATCTAGTGTGATTAATCTCCAATTTAATTTATGCATGTTAAATAAGCCCAGCAAGAACAGTACACACCTTTTTTTTGCAATTAAACTTGTAGTGAAAAATTGGGGTAATGGTTTGATTGCAACATTTTAATTCCACAGTCAGCTATTTTGATCCACTGAAAGATTTGTGAAATAATATGCAGAACGTTTGTTTTCATTATCACATATGAATTTGAGATGATTCAGTCCATTTTCATTTCTTTCTTCTTCTTTTTTATGTATGCAATTTCTTTAATGAATATGAAGTATTGTATATCTCTCAAGCTGCATCTTGTTGAATCTTGTTGGGTGTGGTGATGCTGTAGAAGAAATGGTTTGTCTTTGTTCAAAAACTCATCAAAATTGTGTTGTTCATTTCTTTCTTGCAGTCTTTGCCGGATCATGCAGGCGTCCCGTTTCTTGGTTATCACAATAGCAAAGTGTGTGGTTCTGAAGTGAATGATCCGATACAGAGCCCTCATTCTGTATCTGGTTCAAGAAAAGGATTTTTGTCTAAGGTAAATTTCTTCCTTAAGGTCCTTAATTTAATCAATAACCATTGATGACTAGTTAAAATCGGAAAATACTGAAAAGTTAGGAGCATGTGGCATAATTGCACGATTACATGTTAGACCCACTATTTGGTGGCAGTTAGCAGTTACCTTGTTTTTGTTAAGGTGATTCTCATTCGCGGTTCTGGAATCAAGATTCTTTAAAACGAATCACAACCATAATGGACGTCAGTACAATCCGAAGGATATTATGCCAAAGCTTTACATAATTATTATGAAGCTATCCCGCTAGACATTGATCCCTACGATCGAAGTTATATACTCTATAAGTGTTAATGACTATTATAGTTAGGCAACTGTTGAGAGTTGGAATGACCCTTCTCTTGAAGTTCAATTGCCTTTAATGAAAAGACTTTAAAATTGAAGAAATCGAAGAAGAAGAAAATATTACAATGAAACACTTGAATGAACAAGTTTTCATTAATTGGATACTCGATTAGAAAGTGTAGAATACAAATGAACTAACTAATCTAAACTAAATGCTGAAACTAAGTATTGAAAAGGAATGCAATGATTGAAATGTAAATACAATACTAGAAAGTGGAAGTTTGCAGAGGAGCCTCACATATTCTTCTGACCTTCAATATATATAGTTGCATCAAATCAACAGTTTCTTTTAACAGTAACTCTGGATAACCGCTCAATTGTTCTCTGCCATGTGTCCTTTTGCAACTGCCTTCTATTGGTTTGTAACTTTCCATGTCATGAAAGAATCTCATTGGCCAAAGATACTAAAATCCTTTCCGGCCGCAGGTTTCTTTATTAGCTATAACCTTGTCTCCTTGAAATTCTTCTCAATTTTAGCAGTTGTAACCAGCCACGTGTCAAGTTCTGATATTTTTATACTTATATTATTATTGATCAAGTTTCCAAGTCACTCTTCAGCCATTTCAATGATTTCTTTAATTAGCACCTCAGCCGATAAACGTGGCATAAACAGGTGACTGGGTGATTATCTCTACCGTGTTTTATTTTATATGGACTTCTTAAACTGTCTAGTGTTTGATCTATCAAATTATTGGTATGTGTGAATAGTGATTTCAAATCGCTGTTGATGTTGAATTGCTACTTAGAATCTAATTTACAGAACCTTGATTGCATTCATTAACCCAAAGATGTGGCCTTTTGTTATTTTTAATAATTTACCCCTTTGTTTTCTGGGTCTGTGTTCATCTGATCTTGGAACTATTGTCCTTTACAGCTTGAACCTTCATTTCAATTTTCTAACTCTGCTTTGGAGGGGGCAACAAAGTGGGACCCTATATGTTCAAAAACGTCAGATGAGGTTCAACAGGTTTATGACCACTCAAGGAAAATAAACCAGCAAGTGACTGCTGTCTCAGTGATATCTACACTAAAGGTGGAACTTGAGCAAGCTCAAGCCCGTATCACTGAACTTGAGACTGATAGGCGGTCCTCAAAGAAAAAACTCGAACACTTTTTAAGGAAACTCAGTGAGGAAAGGGCCACGTGGCGGAGCAGAGAACATGAGAAAATCCGTGCAATCATTGATGACCTCAAAGCTAACTTGAGCGTCGAGAGGAAAAATCGACAAAGGATGGAAATTGTTAATTCCAAATTGGTCAACGAACTGGCTGATGCCAAGTTAGTAGCAAAACGCTTTATGCGGGACTATGAGAAGGAGCGGAAGGCCAGAGAATTGATAGAGGAAGTATGTGATGAACTTGCCAAGGAAGTTGGAGATGACAAGGCTGAAGCTGAAGCATTGAAGAGGGAATCCATGAAACTCCATGAGGATGTGGAAGAGGAGAGGAAAATGTTGCAGATGGCCGAGGTGTGGCGTGAGGAACGTGTTCAGATGAAGTTAATTGATGCAAAAGTGATGCTTGAAGAGAAGTACTCTCATATGAACAAGCTCGTAGCAGATCTGGAGGCTTTTCTAAGTTCAAGAAGTGCAACCCCAGATGTGGAGGAGATGAGAATAGGAGAGTTCCTTCGACAGGCTGCTGCCTCAGTGAATATTCAAGATATCAAGGAATTTACTTATGATCCCCCGAATCACGATGACATTTTTTCTGTTTTTGAAGACATTAAATTCAGTGAACCTCACGAAAGGGAGATTGAACCATGTTCTGCATATAGTCCTGCTAGCCATGCCTCCAAAATTCATACTGTGAGTCCTGAAGTTAATGTGCTTAATAAAGCCGGCATTCGGGGACATTCTAATGCTTATTATATTGATCAGAATGGTGACATGGAAGATGACGGGAGTGGCTGGGAGACTGTGAGTAATCTAGAGGATCAGAGTTCAAGTTATTCACCAGACGGAAGCGACCCATCAGTCAAGAAAACTGGCAGGTACAGTAATTTGTCAGGAAGTAGAATGGAATGGGAAGAAAATGTAGGTGAGGAGACACCAATTACAGAAATCAGTGAAGTCTGCTCGGTCCCAACAATGCAATTGAAGAAAGTATCATCCATATCTCGGCTTTGGAGATCACGCCCAAGTAACGGTGACAACATGACAAACTCAATGGAGGGAATGAATGGAAGGCTCTCAAATGGAAGGCTTTCTAACGGTGACATAGTTTCTCCAGATTGGGGGGGTTCAGGTGAAGGTGGACTTAGCCCCCCAGATTTAATGGAACAGTGGAGTTCACCTGACTTGCGAAATCCTCACATAACTCGAGGGATGAAAGGGTGCATTGAATGGCCACGTAGCATGCAGAAGAGCAGTTTGAAAGCAAAGCTTTTGGAGGCAAGGATGGACAGTCAGAAGATCCAGTTGCGCCATGTTCTAAAGCAGAAGATTTAGATGATGTAACTCCTTCTCTATGGTGAACCTTGTTAGGGAATTAACCGATAAAAGTGATTGTGCCCACTGAAACTGCTCAAAGGTCATTACGCAAGACATGCGATTACTCTCTTGGAATTTTTCTTTGCAAAGGTCATGCTCTGGTAAGAGATGACATTACAACTTCCTCCAACCACTTTGGAATGATCTTAAGTGCACAGCTGGTTATTGTCCGGTTTTGATTCGCTGTAGTTTTTCTTTGTTAAGGTACCACATCCTTCTTTGCAAATTATTCAGGAAGCGTAATGTGCTATATATTGTACTGTACCATTTGGAATCAGAGGACACAATCAAGGAACAAAGCTGAAATGTTGACATTCTTTATCTTGTAATTTTGTTGTGAGACATGTCTCCTTGAAATTGAATATGGCAACAATATGTTTCTGCTCATTGCTGACTTGTAATTTTGTTAAAATGTTGAAATGTTGCTTTTGTTAATGAAGTATTGGCTGCTGATTTGATATAATTTAACCAAAGACTGGTGGTGCTTTCAAAGTAGGTTTGGGGTTTAAGCCTTCATATAGGTGGTGTGTAAGTGTGTTTCTTGCTGTTTTAATAAATAAATTAATTAATTAATAAAATTTAAAAGGTATCATGACAATAAGCGGCCTTTGGGATTTCAAGATTGTGGACATCCCTTAAATTGTAATTACTGGGGGTATTAGTAAGGCCAAAAATAATGTTATAGGCTTGTTTGGATCTTGAGAACCTGGAAAGGAAAATAATGCTCTTAGAATGTTGGTATCGACGGAAAGGTTTAGCGGTATCAGCCTTTTATTTCTCAAAGAGAGGTCAGGGGTTCAAGTCTTAAAAAAGACAAGTGCGTGTGAATGCCAACTAGGAAAAAAAAATGTAAGTAAAATTAGGGATAACCGATTAGTCGAATGAGTCCATCCCTAACAGAGGATGTGATTACTCGATTTGTACTAGATAACAAGAACAAAAAAAGAATAGCCATATAACAGAGAAAAAGATGAATTGACTCGATCTAAAGCAAAATAAGTCTCTCTTGCAAATAAGACGGATGTTAATTTTAAATCTGTCTAACACGAGTCACACAACAAATGTAAATTTATTTTCATGTTATAAAACAACACAACATATTACAACAATGGTTCATGAAATAAAATACACAACATTATTGGTTCAACTTCAACAATCCAATGGGATTAAATACTGACTAAATCATACAATTCAATGAACCAGGTATGAAGGAGTTCTGTTCTCCATTTCTCTCATCTGAATTCTTGAAAGTTGACATGGCCTGTTGCCTGTGCATGCTCCACAGCCTCCTGTATATTTACATGAAATTGTCATCGAGAGACTTAAAGAGTCGAGAAATTCCCAAAAAAACAAAGGAGAAAACAAGTAGTGAAGGAGACAGATGAAGATGACTCCATTTTGAAATTGGAAAGCATATCAAGTGTATTGGTGAGAGAGAACCTTCTGGCCGATGACTCCAATTTGGCACACTCCACATCGCAAACTGAAGTTGGAAGTGTCTGTAAAACTTCTTTTCCTGAAAAGCAACAGAATGGAATCACATGGTTGTGCAATAGTCATTATACTCACAATTATAGGTTAAAAAAAAAATTTCTCCGAAAGTTTAAGCAAATGCGCACACATCCACAATATTTGCTCCTAACAAGGCTCGACCACTCGACGGTCTCAACCTCCCCTTTGGGGAAAAGAACCCATACCATCTGGGCTAATGCCCAGTGGTACAAGTAATATGATTCCAGCAACTCAAGAATCAAATAATAATCATTGTGAAATCTGAGGACCATTAGGGTTATTACCCAAGGCTCTAATACTATATTTAAATTTGATTTTGCCCTTGGACACAGGTACCACCACTAACCAACCAAACAGACTTTTGAAAATAAAACAAAAAACTTAGACCCCAAGCTTTTATTACGAAGTATGCTACTTCCCCCTTTGAAAATTTCATGACAAAACAAAAGTAAACCGACAATATGTAAAAATAAAAAAAGATAATATTTCAAAGTTGCTTCTCCTACAAAAAAAAGACATTAACAACTATACCATTGCATCAAATCAACATGATGAAAGAAATCTTACATAAATGGAGCATGAAAGAAAGCATAGAATATATGTTTGGAATATTCCAAGCAAACTCGAATAAGTTTAACTCAAAGCTCTCATTTTCACTTAAAGATTCAATCTTTACTCATTAAAACACTCTTTGTGACTTCAAAAGGAACTCGAATAAGTTTAACTCAAAACTGTCATTTTCTTTCAAATATTCGATCTTTTATACATTAAAACGGTCTAGTGACTTAAAATGTACCTTGATTGAGGTATTTTCATTCAAAGATACAATCTTAACTCATTAAAACACTCTTTGTGACTTCAAAGGGAAATTAAATAAGTTTAACTCAAAACTCTCATTTTCTTTTAAAAATTTAATCTTTATATATTAAAAAGATCTTGTGACTTAAAAGGTACCTTGATTGAGGTATTTTCATTCAAAGATACAATCTTTACCCATTAAAACACTCTTTGTGTCTTCAAAGGGAACTTGAATAAGTTTAACTCTAAACTCTCATTTTCTTTCAAATATTCAATCTTTATACATTTAAAAGGTCTAGTGACTTGAAAGGTACCTTGATTGAGGTATTTTCATTCTTTATACAAAACCTTTTTAGGGAGCTTGAGATGTTCACGAGCTTAACAAGGCTTGTCAAATATCTTGATATTATCTTCTCCCCTTAAAATAAGAAACTGGTGTACTTAAGTTAGAATGCAAATTAGTGGATAGAAATTACAACATAGTGCAAAAAAACTTACTCACTTGAAAGAAAGGTGACTGGGTAGAGACTAGAGACTGTAGGCATTATTTGCAGAAAGTGATTGTCCTCACACTCGAACCTGATTTATCACTCTTGACAATCTGATCATTACATTTTCTCTTGTCACAAATCATGTGTTTTTTAGTTGCCAACATTTTCTTATTAAAGTATATTCCTTGGATAATTTTTTAAGGCTCAAGGGGTGTGTTACTATGGCCAAGTGGCAGCTATTTTAGTTGTCCACAATCCCTAACAAAGCTTGGTGTGGTTCAAGTAGGGCTTGTTAACTAGCCTAAACCTAGAACTTGAGCTTGGGGTTAGATTGTGTAATCAGTAAGACACTTCAACATGGTTTGCTTTTACTACAACATGGATTGGGCATGGACATGTGAACTCTAACATAGGGTGGACTTGAGGCAATGTTTTTGTTGGACTTCATCAACTTTGTTCATTGATTTTTTTATCTTGATGATCTGGTTTCCTCTTTTGGTCTGCCCATAATCATGATTGTAAAGCTATTAGAATTTAGAACTTAGTGTTGGCAAATTTTGGATTTGTCTTCCTTCCTTCTTTTAATTTGTTGATTGTTTTGTTTTTAATAAAATGATGCTTAGGGAAAAAAATGATAAAAATAAATAAATAAATAAATAAAACAAAGAAGAAAGAAAGAAAAATTTGTAACAAAAGCTGGAGTTTGTTACTTTTATTTTATTTTCGAAAGTCAGTTTCGTTAATTAGTAGTGGTACCCATGTTCAGGGGAAAAATCAAATTTGAAGATACATTAAAGGTTTAAAAGATAAAATTGCCTTTTGAATAACTAGCTCATCAACTAAGGTTCATAATCATGCATTCCTATTTTAGGGCATAATGCATAAGTTTCAATTCATGAAAAAAATGTTGAATGCATGAAATTGTTTTGAAGTTGAATGTATATGAATAGTAAATTTTACCAAAACAGTAAGCCTCGACTGATGCGTCTATTGTTTGAAAATTTACAAAAAAAGTTCTATCAATGTTCAAAATGCTTCGATGAAGGCCCAATCCAACAAAGCAGTGCTAGTGAGGTTTGATTGATCAATCGACATATACCCGAATTGTTTTGAAGAGTCTCTCAAATCAGAATTTTAATAGGTTTAGATTTCCTTTTCTGATTACAACTAAGAAACCCTAATTCCTTTGGACTCAAAGCACTAAATCCACACCTCTAGGCTCTCATAGCACAGATACATAGATACAGAGATCTCTACATAATATTGAGAGAATACATGTAAATCTAGAGAGATTTTTATAGAGAGCATCTATGCACATAGTGTGTATATTTTTCTTTTCATCATCTAGAATCTTGCATTAGATGGTAAGTTATTATTTAAGGTGTTGATCATCATAATCCCTTTGCTACACCAAGAATTAAACACCAATGTGGTCTTATTCACAAACACACTGCTTGGATGCCTTGCCATGGTGATCAAAGTGCTTCTGGAGAAATAGATTACGTGAGGAGCGGATATGTTGACGGCCTGGAGAAAGATGGTTTGGCATCAACTGTATCAGGATGTAATTAGGGGTTTTCTAGGGTTTGGGAAGCTTGTAACCTAGTTGTATAATCTCTTTCTCATAGTGAATTTGATTTGTTTGAATTAGGTTTCATGGTTTATTTCGTTGGGTTTTTTTCACGTAAAAATCATATGTTTACGTGTTGTTGCTTGGTTTATTTATTTTTGCTCTTTATACTTAACTGATTCATCTTGATGCATTCCATAAAATCGTTAGATTTTAGAAATCATTTATTCTTGGTTAAAATTAGACAAGATCTATTCACTCCTCTAGATGGTCTTTGAGCACAGTAACGGTCATACGATTTGTCGATTGGCATTAGAGTTGGTTTCTTTAAAGATAGATAGGTACATTTTAATTTGTTTTAGTAAATAAATATTATGGTTCTTAAAAATGAAAAGGGAAAATCTAATTTAGACCTGTGAATCTCATTTTTATTTTTTTTGATAAGTAAAATGTATAAAAAGCGCTCAAAAGGGGAGCATGTCCCAAGGGAACTACACAAGGCCAAAAAGGCCTCTAAACTTTCAAGGAGTCCACAAAATCTACAATCTCCTCTAAATATCTATAATTTCTCCCTATAACCCAACAAAAAAACTTAAGCATGGAGATAGGAGTCTCCTTTCCTTCAAAGGATCTCTTGTTTCTTTCAAGCCAAAGACACGACCAGACACAATGGCGTAACCCTCCAAACATCCTGCACTTGGGCCCCCACTATGTGACCTCGCCAAGCCTCAATCAACCCTCTAGAGGACCTTGGCATAACCCACTGAACACCAAACCAACCAAGCATCAAATCCCAACACTCCCTAGCCATGGTGCAATGCAAGAGAAAGTGATCCACCGTCTCCTCATCTCTATGACACATGTAGCAACAATTGACCACAACCTGATTCCTTTTCCTCAAATTATCCTAAGTCAAAATTTTCCCCAAAACAGATGTCCAAGCAAAGAAAGCCACCTTTAAGGGGGCTTTGGAGCACCAAACAGCCTTCCACAGGAATGGAACCCCGAATCCCTCCATGAAAAATCTATAGAAGGACCGAACATCAAAGTGACCCTGAGAAGCAGGGACCCACAACCATCCATCAGAATCTCCACTCATGATCTCCTGGCGACAAAATCATCAGTAAAAGCAGTGTGAATCTCACTGCTTTTACTGATGATTTTGTGTATTCTAAATCTAAATCCTCACAATCCAACAACAATGGTGTAGTTCAAAATCTAGTTAATTGCCATATACTAATGATGAATTTGAGAATGATTCAGAACATCAGTAAAAGCAGTGTGAATCTCACTGCTTTTACTGATGATTTTGTGTATTCTAAATCTAAATCCTCACAATCCAACAACAATGGTGTAGTTCAAAATCTAGTTAATTGCCATATACTAATGATGAATTTGAGAATGATTCAGAATTTGATGACATTGATATAGAAAAATATTTAGTACTTTTCTTAAAGAGAACGTAAAATAAAAAATTAAGTGCAAAACTGAAAAAAGTATAAAATGATATAGTATTGAAAAATTACATTGTCCTTGAAATTTGCACATAAGACACATAATCTCTTAGATTGATTGAATTGTTTCTTGTTAAGATAATCTTGATGACTAGTTTGTTTGTTTGCTTATTTATTTGTTATTGATGAATTCTTGAGGTTGATATAATGCATGCTAACTTTTTCTTTTATACTCAAAAATCTGATGTGAACTAGATAATTGAAATTTTGGTTTGAGAACCAAAGTTGCTGGACAAAAGATGATGTCTGAGTTTGACAGACAAGTAAGAAAAACATATATATATATATATGAAGAATAAGAAAATTTTAATGATCTGGAACACAAGTTTCACTGTGAATAAAACTGTTAGGTGGAAATTTTTACCTGGACAACATTGTTTTGTCAATTTTAAAAAAAATTCATGCAGTCTAGTTTGATGACCTTAAAATGCTTTGTGATTTGACTATATAAACAATTTTGAAAGAATGGTGTAATTAATTTTATAAAAAAATGAAAAATTACAAAATATTTTATTTTTGAACCTTCTATTCATTTCGTAAAGTTAAATCTTGAAAAACACAAAAGTATTTAAGGTTAATGGATTTATTTTTCTTGTAAAATCTTAATTTAATCATCTCTACTCTTAATACCCTTGGGGACCATAATTTTCCTCCATTATGAATGTTTGTAATTTAATTTTAGTGTTTTAAAGAACAATTTTGTTTATTTGGATGGTTTACATGTCATTAATGATATGGAGTATATTATTTGTTGCTTAATTTGTCAATTTTGTGACAAAAGGGGAAGAAAATAAGAAAAAGTTATAATATGTTTTTATGTTTGAGGGGGAGTTCCCAATTAAGGATGCTTAAAAAATCTTGTATTTCATTACTCAGACCTCACCACTAGAAGTTAGCTTGAGTAATACTTCTTCCTGCCACCCCACAAAGCATAGGTGAAAGGTACGAGTCCCAGTGAATACACATGTATGTTTGTGTGTTATACTAATTTAAAAATATATATATATATATATATATATATAAATGCTCAGACATTCTTCATATTGTGGAACCTGGCTTGCATTGTAGAAGATCAAGAACTACCAGAACATATATTAGAATCCAATCCAATAATGATGAAAAATGTAACTTTAGAAAACACTAGAATTGTGTTAAAAGTTCTGAATTTGATAAAAGAAGCCCACAAATCAGATGGTCCACAATCATCTACTTTAATCCAGTGTTTGTATCAATGGAAAGGAAAAAAATTCATGCACCATTAGGCCACAATGAAACCCAAACATACCTCTGTTGTTCCTTGACAAGATTGAGAGTGAGACCCTCGACTGACCCAATAGTTCGGTCCTTCTGGACAACAAATATTGTCTGATCAAACTCTTCTGGAGCTCCATCGGAAGGAGACATCTGTTGGTACAAGACAAAATCAAATACTACAAGACAGAACTTGAAATATATGTAAAACATGGTACCTACAACTGAAGACAGTTTCAGGAGGAAAAAATAAAGAGTATAGTGGAAGCATGGCAAGTGAAACTGTTATGACAAACGCAACGAACCCAAGATAAAATCAAGAATCACGACAAAAAAGTAAACACACCACACAAAGAACACAAATATTTATACGTGGTTCGGCAATAGCCTATGTCCACGGTTGAGATACGGCAAAAGTCTTCACTATGTGTAAAATCGGAGATTATAAGTTTTCAGCCCCTCATTCTGTTTCTGTACGAATTCTACCACTCCAAACCCTAAGCGCCCTTATATTTCGGGCTACAAGAGACTAACTAGGGTCCATGACCCATGGGTCAAAAATTTCCCTCGGGGGTCCTACTTGGCCCCACACAAAGCTCATCCAATGGGTCGTCAGGACATAAGCAAGTCACAACGCGACCCGGCACCAAATTCGAGCCACAACATCACAAAAACCATTTGAAATTTGTGCCTGTTGATAGGCATGCCTCGGTTGCTGATTGCTATTGGCTTGATAGCGGGAGGTTGACTTGGGATGTGTGGTTTGTGAAAGCTTTCCAGGAATGGGAGTTGGACGACATTTGCGGGTTGTTAGATCGTTTGTATCAACATGAGACCCGTGACAGAGATAGAGATTCGCTTGTTTGGGTGCCTGTTCTCGGGGAAAGTTTGAAGTGAGATCATTTTTCCGATGCCTCTCAGATACTACACGGATTACGTTTCCGTGTAAAACAGTGTGGAGGTCTAAGGCACTGCTCAAAGTGGCGTTCTTTACTTGGACAATGGTGTGGGGCAAGATCTTGATGCTCGAAAATTTGAGGAGGCGAAGACAAATCACAGTTAACTGGTGTTGTATGTGTAAGTGCAATGGAGAATAAGTGGATTATCTTCTTTTGCATTGTCCAGTGGCTTTGGACTGTTGGTGTCTTTTGTTAGGAATGTTTGGGGTTTCATGGGTAATGCCTAGATTTGCAAGAGGATTGATGGAGGCTTGGAGAGGGTGCTATGTGGGAGGTCATGCTCATGGGTTTTGGAGGATGGCGCCCTTGTGTTTATGATGGTGTTTGTGGAGGAAGCGGAATAATAGATCATTTGAAGGAAAGGTATCCTCGATTGTTGTTCTTAAGTCGGCCTTTATTACATCTTTATGTTTTTGGGGTTCGGGTACGCTTTGTTCCTCCCTGAAGGAGATGATTGATTTTATTTCTTCCTTTGGACCATAGGATCCCTTTGTTGTTTCTGGGACGCGTTCTCCTTTTGAGTGTTCCCCTTTTGAACGCTTTTTGAATGAATTTGCTTAATTATAAAAATAAAATAAAATAAAAAATTATTTTTGTGCCATCAAACTTCGCATCCATTTAGCCCTAATAAGAAGAGTAACTTCCAAAGTAATGATCTCATCCATTTAGCTCATGGTCGCATGCGTTAGGTTTGTGGCTCGAATTTCATGTGGCTATGGTGTTCTGGATGCATTGGACTGGTCCAACTTATGTGGACCGGTCCAATATGGCTGAAGATTGCAGAAGTGGGAAACTAAAGTCGATAACTGGTCCAAGGATTATGGAACGGTCCATCACGTCTAATACATGTACGTACACAAGTTTCCTATTCCAATTTGGAAAGCTGTAGAGCAAGATTGATATGGTAACTCCTTGTAGGCAAGTTGTGGAATTCTTGCCCAACAAGGAATTGGATTTGAAGACTCTAAATAGAGAAGAGATGGTGTGAGAGATTAGGGTAGAGAAAGAGAGAGAACTTTAGAGAAAAATTGAATTGAGTTTGTGAGAAGAGAAAGAGTGTGTAACCAAAGTATTCAAGCAAAGATAGTCGTTCTTCCCCCGTGGACGTAGGCAATTTGCCGAACCACGTATATCTCGTCTTGCTTGTGTGTACGCTTTTATCTGTTCTATTTTCCAATAGTGTTTATGCGATTCTAACAGCATGTTTCTTTCTTTATGATCAAATGAAAATGAATAGTGTTGAATGGCTAGAATCATCGGGATAAATATTAGGCTGTAGATCTCTAAAAGCAATGTTTTAAAAAACCTGTAACAGACCGAGCCAATCCAACTGTTCAGGTAGTCAGCTATCCTATTTATGGGCTTTAAATCTGTAAAAAGACTCAAAAATGCTTCAATCCAAAGATCATAATTTCTGAAAACCATCTTCACCCAACAGGTAAGCCTTTGAGCCATCTGAACCATTTCAATTAACTGCCACATTTGCATCTCTAAAATAAAAGGCACATTTTAGGGCTTTGATCAATGGAAAGGAAGGAAGGAAAAAGAGACTCATAATTTGACTGCAACTCCACTTTAGGGATGCTTGAGTCGCTTGACCAGGCATGTATCTTTTTTCCCCCTGTTCTAATATTTCCTTTTTTAAATTCTTTTTCTTGCTGCTTCCTAATTTCTTTTCAAACTTGTTCTTTCCTTTTCTCCTCAATACACACAAACATTAAGAGAGAGTGAAGGAGAGGCCTGGTTCAATGGTGACCTACTCCTTTCTCTTCAACTTGAAGGGCTATATCATATCTTCCGTGATAATTGCAACCTCGTCACCTGTATTTTCAGTTTTACATGGAAATTTCTCCAAACAAAAAGTTATATTTAAGTAAATTTTTATGTTTTATCTTTAAGAATAAATAATTTTGACATTTATAACATAATTTTGACATTTATAACGTTATTATTATATTTTTAGTATACCCCTAGCTATTCGTCACCTGGTCTCTTTTTCCGGTTTGAGAAACGGACAGTCTGTTTTCCGGTTTGAGAGATGGGCTGATTTTTGAGCAGTGCAACACAATAACCATTGAAGGTGGGCATCTAACAAATTCTAAATCATATATCTGGCGCATGTCTAACATAAGCAGAAAATATCCTTTTTAAAATACAACCAGCAAAATGATAACCACACACAGAAGAGATAGAGAGAGGCCATACAGCCAAAGAATCATAATGGAGGCCATCATAGATCAGCATAACCCTTTCGTGATAGTTCTTCCCCTGTTAAGCAGTACCCAAAAGAGAGGAGACAAGAGAATTTCAGTCATGTCGATTTAAGTATTTAACAAGAATCAGAATCATCAACAGCTCATTACTAATTCTAACCTGTCCATATAAATCACATCTTTTGGTTTGGATATCATATGCTGCAATTTCACGTCCATAATACTCTGCTAATATAGAAAGCTCAATGGCACCTTCACAAGAGAAAATAAATAACAAGTTTAGCAGAACAGATCAATAAACTAATCTAAACAGCATCGTAGTGCTTGATTGAGACAAAACGAATATGTAAGGATACCTCCACTGTATAGAGATAATTCCATGCTGATCAGACCAAACATACATGAATTACCTCAATATTATCATAAATAGCCAAGAGTCCAAAAGCAGATCAAACCTTTGAAATTCAAAAACTTGGATTTGTATTTACTGACAATCTAATTTGGGTATTCTAACATGGTACACCAAAAGACAACAAAGACTCCATACAAGATACATTGCATACTAAATGTGGGAAAGTCAAATTTGTTCAATTGTAGAATGAAACATGAAATCGAATCATACACGGATACAGTTACACGTAGCAGGTACAATGGTATACAAATCTGAACCAACAAGCAACCGCTGTAATCAATCAGAAGATCCAATACAATCTCCAATCTCATGGCTATGATAGCTACCATACTAACCCTAATAGCAAGTATAAAATCAACTTCAAGTCCCAATGCTCAAGGTATAAGAATACTTAACTTTCTTTCACTTAATACTCTCTTGAAGCTTTTGTTCATATCATTGTCCGACATTCTTCCCTTTTATTCTCTTGGTCAATTACAAAACGTCGAGCTGCTTATCTCTGCTAGCATTTTATTAATTCTCTATCAATCATTAGTTGTCTCTTTATCTTTACGTTTAACCGTTTCTCTTACTAACTGATGCCTTAGTTAATTGTGTTTATTGATTGCATCTCATTTTATTTGCATGTTTAGTTTAATTTCTCAAATCAAACAACTTGTTCAACTAGGTTAGATTTAAATTAATATGGGTTTAGATTGGTTTTCCATATTTTTCTAAGCAATCCCTGTGGATACAAACTCGTTGCTACATGTCTACACTCCAATATATTCGTATACTTGCAAGTGATTTAAAAACAAACAAGTTAATTGTTTTTATTGATTGCATCTCATTTTATTTGCATGTTTAGTTTAATTTCTCAAATCAACCAACTTGGTCAACTAGGTTATATTTAAATTAATTTGGGTTTAGATTGGTATTCCATATTTTTCTAAGCAATCCCTGTGGATACAACCTCGTTGCTACATGTCTATACTCCAAAAGATTCGTATAATTGTGAGTGATTTAAAAAGAAACGATAAGTTTTTGGCACCGTTGTCGGGGATTGCAAAAGATTAGAATTTTTGCTTCCACCAATAGACCCGTTTCCCAACACCAGAAACGTCTCAGGACTCAGCTGGTTATGTATTATTCTAATTTGATTTGTGTGTTTGTGCCAATGCAAGATATTTTCCATACAGTCATCCATACTAGACCTAGTCAAAGAGAAAAGCTAAACAAACTGAACATCAGAATGTTATCAAGACAGATGTCACTTCGCAAAGCAGTGAGAAAGAGACTCCATTAGCATTGGTCCTGTTATTCCCATAACCGCACACATGAAGTACTCTCGGGTCAAAAAGGCCAGTAGTTGCAGGAAAATTTCTTAACTCGACCCATGTTGTTTTCAATAATTAATCTTGTGGATGTTCCAGCAAACCATAATCAGAGGAGAATGGAAGTTTAAACACACCTCCCCATTTTTCTGGGTTAAGAATCCATGCACAATACTCTTCATTTGACTTTCCAAGAAATGCTTCGGAATATTTTGTTGGATCACTTGCCACTGTTGCAGCTATAACCTTCAAAAACAACATGTAACAAAATGTCAAGGAAACAAAGAAAGAGAAGGAAATTATGCCATTTATACAACATACTGGTACAATTATAGAAGGATAAATGTCCTTACACCAGTGTACTTATACATAGTCAAATTTACAGATGTTCTCGAGCCAGCAACCAACTTTATCCGTGAATTTTAGTATGGTATCAAAAAAGCAAGCAGCTTATATGCTTGGGTTATATATAAGCACCTTCTTGGAGATCCTCAAAAGTATTCAGAAATTTGGATTTTAGACCACTATTCTAGAATTATGATGCACATTTTCCTGGCCAATTTAATGTTTACAGGTTGAGATCATGTTCTAACAAAATCCTAGCTCAAAAATGTACGAGTAAGTATTTATAGATATGAACCGTCTATTTGCTTATACATGCATGAAATCCCTGCAGCAGTTTTACCGGTGAAACATGTCGTCCATACAATACATGGTATGTGTCAGACATTTTTTTGTCATACAACAACAATAAACAAAACCTTTTCGCCAACTACTTGTGGTTGGCTACATGAATCCTATCTAAGCAAACAGCTTACTAATTCCACCCATGTCAACTTTGTTCTTGCCCTTCCCCTAGGCCCTAGGGTTACCCTCAATGTGGACCAAGTCTTCTTTCTAAATGGCGCACATAATGGTCTTCTTTGCACATGTCCAAACCATCTTAATCCTTTTTTTTTCTTTTTTGTTTGGGTCAAAAATATGAAATTTAAACACACAGGAAACAAGAGTGCCTACTAATGAAACTAAAACTTTAAAGACAATAAGATGACATTTATACAGTGTGCTCCATTATTTATTATGAGACAAAAGAAAGTCCAACAATCTCATACCAAGAGATGACACAGGCCCCAATCTGACAAGCATGCATTAGATAAGTACTGCAAGATATTGAGCCTAACCCATGACACCCACTAGACACAGTTTAGTGCCATGCCAAAGATTGTCACTGTCACTTCCCTAATCCATTACATACAACTTCACAGGAGGTTCTGCTTCATATAACTAAAAAATAGATTGCTCTAGGATCGAATACTGCCCATTCAATGTTTAGCTCAAGTACAAAAAATAAATAAATAATAATAATAATAATAATAAAGGATAGATCTAAAAGAACAAGAATATAATAGGAATTCCACCATTACAATATCTCCAGATTTCAGGTACCTATCATTATCAGTGTAAACACTTTCCATTTGGCTCACTTAATCATTTAAAAGCAGCTCGTTCAGGCACGAAAATACAAGATAATAATTTTATGTAAGTACTGATCTCTGAATTAACATGTAGACTCCCTCTCTTTATCCGATATTATACAATTTAATCCAAATCCTAGTAGGACTCCTAAGTTGGTATAATCTTATATAGCTTTTATTTACGATCTTCTAACTCATGTAACACAAACAAGTCAGAATCCTAGTTCTCTCTTTTCCAATTGCCACGAGAGAAACGAGTCAAATTACCACAATACAAAAGAGTCAAAACTCTCTCTCAATCCTATTCTCATATAACTTCATTCTAAAGATAATATTATTAGACAACGACTTGTTCCAAAAGCTTAAGAGTGTTAATAGATGGAATCAACCATGTACGTTTAGCTCTCTCACCCTATCCCGCATGCAATCCCTTCTTGCACACAGAGACAAAATAACAGTCTGAAAAGGCAGAAAAAATGCAGATGGCCCTTTTACATGTGGGAAGACAAAGAGAATGCAGACTTTCACAAGCAAATAGAGCATCGGTTAGAGAGACATCGTATAACAAAAACACCAAAACCATGTTAGATAACCTTTGTCCAAACTGTTAGAGAATGAACCCTTTATATAACAACTTCCGACAACTATATCTCCTCAGATAGTTGATCTCTAAAAGAATGGCCAGTGCGAGTTGATTTCCAAAGCCAACCGCAAATTTGTATTTCTTCCTTCATTCACTTAAAAAATAGTATGAGATTGCGTAAATCCATGTTATGGACTATCATTTGTTAGGAGAGAGCCTAATGGTCATTGTTGGTAGATATCTTTCAATCATAAAACTATTTGCAGGTAAGACAGAGACCAGTTCATCCTATTTATAGAAGTATTCTTAGTAAGTTCCTCCTGCAAAAATTAAAAAGGTAGTATTTATGAATAAATTTTCAGAGAACTATACAAATCTTCAATTTATTTTTTGAGTCTTGGTTTCACTTGTTTTAGAGCTTATCTAATATGCTTCTTTAATCACTTCCTCTGTTTCTATCCAAAAAATATACTTAAATTTAAGTCATTAGTTTAACTAGTCATATTTTTGCTCAAAATGGAACGTGTTTTTTTATTACACATCCCATGATTCCCCCCAACCCAAAAACACACCACCCAACCAATAAGTAGAACATTCCTATAATTCAATCTCGAAAGCCTATCAATCTTATATATAGTTCTGATTCTAATGGCCTCATCGGTGCTGGCGAAGAAATTCATGAAAAGAAAGGCCAAGAAAGCCAGGATAGAGTTTTGACAACCCAATCTCATTTTGGTAATTAGTTTATAGCTGTCAACAATATAGATCCAGATGAAGAAACATGATTTCACTGTTTCTCTATTTCTTGCAGATACTAAAACGGACATTGTAATTCCCAAGTTGCAACAGAAGTGCATTATGAGATAATGAAATAAACATATTTATAAATTTTAAGATATACTAAATTAGGTGATATTCGGACTCCACAACAAATGCACTCCACTTTAAAAGAAAACGACCATTATTGTCCATAACTTCATAAATAAGAGAATAAAAAATTTATTAGGTTAGGGACACTTATTTATATTTTCTTAAAGAAAAAGACTATGGAGTGCATTTGTTAAACAGCAGAGTGCGGATATCATCTCCCTAAATTAACGGTCGGAAACAAAGTACTATTAATTGATCAAACATGCAGAGAATCTCAATCAAAGAGACATGTATGATTACCAAAGTTGACTTATTATATTGCAGTATTAACTCCACTCATAGATCATAAATTACAGAAAGAAAATTTAGGCAGAATTGGATATGAGACTGCTTGATTTTCGAATTTAAGTACAAATTAACAAGTTAAAATTTGTGTTTTCCTTTGACAAAATTTTCACAGGTCGGAGTTCACAAAATCTGCATTTATAATTTGAGAAATCAAGTTACACTGACTGCACGGGATATTCTGATGTACGAGATACATAATGTTAATAAAATGACTCTAGATAAGCATCTTGGTGGGATATATAAGAGAGGAGTAATCATAACCTGTCTCAACTCAGAAGCCTTGTGTTTGTCATGGTCCATAACGTACCTGCAAATGAAAAAACATTAAAAATAAAATTTCAAACACTGGTTGAAAGTTTGACAATCCAAATTAATTAGATTGAAAAAGAAGACATATGGTCAGGAGTTTTACCCAACAGCATTGAAGAGGCAACTGTTGTCCGAAGGAATGACCCTCCTAATGACAATACCTTCCATTTTCGAAGCAAATTTGCACCTGAAAACAATCAGAGCTACATTGGTGACTCCAGTATACTACTAAACATGCCAGAGAGAGTGTTCTGTAAACCTTAATTAACACATAATTAACCAATCTGATTATAAGTAAAAACTTCACCTTGAGGAGAAATAAACTAAATAGAAAATTCAACGAATGATTGACACAAAAAAAAAAAAAAAAAAAAAAAAGGGGGGAAATCAAGATTTATATATCAAAGTAACGTATCAAAAGAGAGACTCAAACCCTCAACAAGAACCTAACTATCCACATAACCAAAAAAAAAAAAATTGAGTAAACCAGACTATTCTAAAAAATTGGGAAAGAAACAAATATATTTGGAAAAAACGTAACAGTAAAATAAATTGAGAAAATATAGTTAAAGTGCAAATCACATATAAATTCACAATCCCATGAAAGAATGAAACAGAATACATAGGAAAAACCAGACTATATCTAAAACCCACTTGAATTTTTAAAGATTTCCACCAAAAATATATATATATATATGTAACCTTTCTGGATGTACAAATCTAAAGTAGGATCCACAAGAAAAAGCAGCCAATATTTTTTTTTTGATGAATGAAATGCAACCCATATTCGAGAGCAATCTAATAATAATTTAGGACTCTAGATAGATTGAACACAATAATTCCCAGAAATAAATTGAACGAGAGAAATGTTAAATAAAAGCTCAAGATGTGTATGTACCAAGAATCGATTCAAACCTTCAAGTGAAGAAAGCTGCAAATGAGAAGAAATATCTATAATTAGGAATATGAGAAAAATGAGAGAAGCTAAGGAGGTTGAGAGAATCTGGAGAGTTGAGATATAAATGTGTGTGTGAAACTGTGTGTCTATTACGCACGAGTCTGTATATTGCTCAGCCAAATCCACAGCTTCACGTCACGAATACAACGGAAGTTCCAAGCAAATATAAGTGGGCGCCGATTGATACCCCACTTTGGATGTTGTTCACTTTGGGAATGTTCGCCTGTGTCCGACCCTAATGATACACCACTGCAGTATGAAAAAATTATACTGCAATTTAGATGTTCCTTCCAGGAGTACAACTTTTGAAAGGAATTTGTAATTATTGCATTGTCCCTTTATTACAAAGATATTCTTTCAAGTTTATATATATATATATAAGTTTAAAATTTTTTAAAATTTTAAATTATATTTTATAAAAATATATGAAATATGTTATTTAAACTTGATAAGTGAATAAGTATTTTAGAACAATTCAAAAAAAAAAAAAATGGACAATTATTATAGGCAGGAGTGAATTACTAATTATAATTTATTGAATGTATTACATATTAAATAATCATTATTATTTAAATTAAATCAAATATAAATTATGTTATACTTTGCCTCTCGTTTCCGTTAAGAAAAGGTTAATAATTAAAAAAATACATGTAAGTTGGAGTGGGATTAAAGTTAAAAATATTTTGTTAGATTCTTAAGGAAAAAAATAAAAAAGAAATCATAATTAATATTTGAATATAGAGGTTGTTCCAACAGCTATAGTACGTGGAATCCTGATTGTCTTCTTCTTAGTTAAAGACGCAACCGTTAAGAATTACCCCCAAGGTCTTACTTAATAATGATAAGTAAAGCACATAGAATAGTTCAGTTGGTATATAAGTCCTCCCCAAACGGGATATCAGTGTTTGAGCACAAACAAGACATGATTTATATTATTCTAACATATTGATAAGATAAACTACGGGTGAAAGAACGACTATATTTCCTTCTAATATAAAGATTACACACTATTTCTCTCGCTCTCAACTCTCTGTGTCTCACAACTCTCTCTTGCAATTCTCTGTTTTCACGCTTTTTCTTTACTCAAACTCATCTATATTTATAGAATCTTCAAACCCACTTGTTGAACAAAAATCCCTCAACTTGACTATGAGAGAGTTATCGTATCAATCTCCAACTCTAAAATAATATCTTAATAAGTCACAACTCCCTCCCGAAGACTTTAGCCAGCCTTGCTCCAATAAAAGTGTAACCGGATTCCCAGAATACATTCTGAACAAGAACTTGAGCCACAACCCAGCAATCTCTACATTGGCTCAAATTCTGTCTTCATGCGCTCCTACATATTACTCCACCTCGAACTAAAAATCTTTTTTCTTCTTATTGTTCTTCGTCGTTCTTTCATACTCACCAATTGCTAGCAAACTCCAAGTTCAAATAATCGAACTTGGAATCTATTCTCAAATCATCGAATTGGACTTTCATTACTTCTTGGATGAAGGTTGGTGTTGCATCCATTACTCTAGTAGATCTAGAAATAGGCTTCCATTCTATCTTTGCAACTGCTCCACCTAACAGAGTAATTCCTGTTAGGGATATTAACTCCCTCCAACCCACTCAATGGTCGATTGTTATCGAGAGTTAAATAACTTACTCATCATACACAGCGAAAGTATCATCACATCACATCAATACAAGCATACATGGTGACACGATCATACATATCCACACATAACACTATATTCTACACGGTTTACATAACTCTAGAGTTACATCCATAGAGATAGATATTTTCACTATTATGAATCAAGGGAGATAATATACAACCATGTTGCCCAAATAATGAATCTAGATGGGGGGTGAATAGAGTCTTTAGCAAACATTTGACGATCCGAATTTCGAAGAACTCGGTACGTCAGCGATTAACCCGAAAGACTAATCCAAAAACGAATCTGAAACGCGGAAGTAATGAAAAGGAAAATGGTCACTAGGGATGGACACCATCCCTAAGACCCAAAGTGGACTTCTACAAAGCCATGGAACTCAAGAGAGAAACAAAAACGAAAATAAAGGTCAAAACGGGCAAAATCCATTAATCAAGGGTAAAATGGTCATTTCATAAATAAAAAGGGAAATTTGACTCCAAGCAAGTCAAATGAGATCCATGCAACTTAATCTAATCATTTCACAACATTCCAAGAGGGTCTAAGAATTTTGGCCAAGAATCCCACAAAACGCCCATTCCCGGTTTAAGAAAAATCTGACACTGTCCCACAAAAACATAAATAACTCCCACTGTGATTTGAATCTGAGAATGACATTGGTACCATTGGAAAGGTGACTCAAAATCCTAAAAGATAGACTCAAGAATGACCCCATTTGGAGTATAAATGAAAAAGATATAACCGTTTGAAGTCTGAGCAACAAAGTTGTCCCAAAACTGAAGAGAAGTGAGCCTGAGGCATTTCGTTTGTCCGAAATGCCATTTCAGGAGCCCAAAATGAACCCAGTCTCACCAGAAATCTTAAAAGAGAAGAAAATTCATTTCGGTCATCCAAAATGAAGAACCGGTCATCCGGTTGTGACCCAAATAGAGCTTTAGCTACTAAAAAATGACTTTTAATTATTCAATTGATTCTAAAAAGAAACTGGTCGTCCGAAATGACTCGAGAAAGAGCAGAAAAACCTGTTATGCACCAGAAATGTTAAGGCTTCACACAAGCCTCAATCCCCATCACGAATTGGTCCAAAAACAAATATTTAAAGCCGTGTAAACATGCCAACAAAAATAATTTTACATAAATGATCAAAATACAACGGTTCACAGCCTCATTACATGTCAATAATTAAAAAATATATTTCATAAGTCCATAGTAACACAAAAATACAACAAAACAAACATGCTTATCAAACCAAAAGACATGTAAAATATACATTAAACGTTAAAATGGCTCATTGACCTCAATTACAACCTTTAAAGGTAAAGTACATGTTTTTCCCTAAAATAGACATGAATTTACATTTCCAAAAGTAAGAAGTGCACTACATCAACTACGACAAGTTTGATATCATAAAATATACAAAGATAGCATGGTTACATTCGAAACAAATCCAAAAGGCAAGAAATGGACACATGTTCGCGCCGAACTAGCCGAGGGTCTCTCCCCAGAAGGCTTTGCCAGCGCTTTATCTCTCGCCCGAGCCTTAGTCATCTGTTCCTGTCGTGATAAAGGCAAAATCCGACCCTTTTTTGGGGAGCTAATAGGATCACATTATATGTGCTCCTCAATATGCTCAAATGCCACATGACTTTGAGATGAGGAATCAGGACCCATTTTGTTATCCTGACCAACTAAAGCAACATCAAGCGAAACAAACTCCTCAAGTAGTGCCTTTCCTTTGAACGCCTGTGCAGTTAACCCATGGAGAACTACATTACCAGTAGAGTAGTCCCCTTGACCATCACCCACAATTAACAATGTTTGTCCACCCACTGTAGATAAAGCCACCGCCTTATTATCTAATTTATCCAATGGAATATGTCCATGACCCACATCAGTAAGCCGAAACAAGTGGCGAGATTCCTTTATCCATTCCGGCAAATTACGATTAGAAGAAAGGGACTTCGAGGTTCTCAGTCTCGTCACCACCATCTGAGTCCCCATCCTCCACATATAGCCAACTTTTGTCATGACCAGCAGCCGTAGATTCACCCCGGTCACTATCTGGATTCCAAAGATCTTTCCCAAGAAACCCATCCACCCCTAACCACAAGCCATACTTCTTAAACTCCGCAGAAAAGTGATTCGGTCCAAACGGACACTTCTTCCAATGGTGACCAATAATGCCACAAGCAAAACAGAAGGAAGGGAGTTTTTCATACCTCACTTGAGCCCAAAACTCCGAACCCAAAGGACTTGTGATCAAAACATTACGTCGCAGAGGTTTAGTAATATCCAACTCAACTTTTAATCGAAGCATCCTACTATCAGCCAGCAACTTTTCTTTACCTTCAAACATGCCCCTATCCCAAAACTCCACTTCTAGACATTGACCCAGATTTTCAGCAATCCTCTGTCCCACTTTAGCGGATATTAAATTGGCATGCACATCTAAGATTTGAATCTAAAAAGGGGAGAGTTGAAAAGGGGAGTTAGAGAGGAGCAACCCATCCTCCCACTCCTTAATCACAAGCAAATGACCATCAAACAGCCACGGGCAACTATTTATAACTCGCTACCTAATAGAGCTATCATTGATAATAAGTTGAAAAAATTCCCCGCAATCTTAAACACCTGAATACGCTTAGAAAGAGGCTCTTGTTGTTGTTCCTTTAGCCATAACTTGGTGAACAATTTGCCAAAGGTAAACTTTGCTCCAGCCAAAGTGGTAGTCTTCGATGCCCAGATCTTTCCAAAGAGATTGTGACGACATAATTGAACGCTTTGAGCCGTATCATCGGCAGTTAAGAGGACCGGCTCTTTTTCCGCATGTGTTAGTGTGAGCCCACGAAATTGATCAACTATATTTGGCTCCATAGTGACTACAACCACAGAAGGAAGAAAGAAAGAAGAGAGAAGCGATATATACCCCCACTGCTTCCTCAAACACAAGTTATAAGGGCTAAGAAACTGGCGTAATGGAGACGCCAAGGTAGTGAAATGATACTCTGAAACCACAAGAAGCTTTGAGAAACGGAATTGCTGTACAATATGACGCAACCCAAATGACATGGAAGTTAAAAGCCTCACAAGCCCGTAACATTTACCAAGGATGACATCAGAATTGAAGGCGTATAGAGTACGCCAACACCTCTGCACCACACAATATAACATATAACAAATAAACGCAATATAGATTACTTGACCAAAAGTCTGAATGCATGTGGGGTCCAGCCACTGATCTCGCTTCTGCACATGTCCCCCTTGCACAAATCTCCACGTCGAGGCTTCCAGAGAACGCAATAGCCTCATCACTTCCCTCTATCTGAAAAAATCATCGCCGCCTAAAGAAGCCTAACCGCCGACCATTACACAACCCCCTGTTTGTAAACGCCTCGCCTATATAACACCAGCAACAACCAACGCAGCATGATACCCAATAGAACATGTGGATACCAAAAAACTTCGCTATAGGCCAACAAATCATATCGCAAATCAGCCCAGATACAAACAAGACCCAACAAAAAAGTAAGAAAACCACGCAATAGTAAT